TTGAAAAATATCAATTATATCCACTTACAGATATCAATATTTTCACTCATTCGCTGCACTCACTCATTAAGATATCAATCCACTCATGAATAAACATGATATTTTTTATGATCATAGGACATTCCTATATTAACTCAGTGTAGATAGACTTCCCTAAAAATATTCACCACATTTTCACCACATTCTTTCTTTTCTTAGTCAATTTTAAATCCATGCTCATGGTTACAGACAAAACAAACAAGTAAATACATTTCATAATTGTACAAAGTTTATTTGTATAGAATCATAAAAATTACAATACCTGTAAAATAATGTTATGATACAATGTATGAATATACTACAATTTATAATAATATGGTATGGGACATTACCGCTTTACGATAGTCCTGCACCAAGCCCCTGTTTTAACTCCCCTCATTCTCTCAAATGCAAGGATTGAGAAGGGGGAATTAGGGACTTAGTGCAAGACTTGTTAAAAAGTGTATTTACTATAAATGTAGCCTTTACCTTGAATTACTTGATCTAGTGACAATGCACACATAATTTTGCTTTAATATGATCTAGTTCCACTTTAAGGGATTGTTTCCAAATATCAGCAGGTATGGAGTTATGTCATTCATTTTGTTTTATCATTACCCTCAGCTATCACATCCCCTAAAACTTAATTTTAAAAATTACAATCTAGATTGATATTTTTCAAAATAAAATTCTCATTTACCCCCTCCCCAAAACTAAAAACAATATACATCCAAAGCAGTTGATATTTGGAATCAATTCCTGCTAAATTATCAACCATGTTCAACAATAATACAACCATGTTCAACAATAATACAACCATGTTCAACAATAATACACTCCCCTCCATAAGTTTGGCAACAGGAAGTTTTACTGGATAACATATCATGGCCTCAATATTTGAGCCTAAAAATTTTGTCTTGAATTTTGTTCCTTAGTTACGATAGTGTTGCCATTTAAGACAGATTTGATGTTTTTATATCGCCAAACATAAACAGGTTTTTAATGAGTCATCTAAAAGGAAATGTGTGGTTGTCAAACTTATGGAGAGGAGTGTTACATAACACGGAAGCAAAAAGAAGTTCCAAGCCGAGCTATAAATAGATTTGTACAAATACTAACAGAATTATGGCTCATTAGTCATTAAACATTAATAAAATTCCTTAGCATATGATATTTGTGACTTCAACATGACTTATTATTTCAACATGACTTCTTTGACTTCATATTACATCATGACTGCTGTTGAACATTTTGCAACAGCTTTAAATACTGTGCCACAGATGAAACTAAAATAAGATTAAATATATAACATTTAGGCCAAGAAAAAATGTGTTTTTAGTTGCCATGGTTTCAAAATTTAGCCTCAGGCTATTTTGGAAATTTTATGTTAATTTATGTTCTGCTTTTCATAAAACCCAGAAACAACTTTTTTCCCCAGACTATTTCAAGTTTTAATATTCATGAGTAATTTTTGTTAATAATTCACCTTAACTTCAACTCACAATCAACCACTCCCAGGTTTATCCATCAATCTGGCATCAAGGTCTTGTGTAACCCCCTCCCTAATACACACATGGCTTTAATTAGAGAAATATAAAATTAGGAGGGGGAGGGGGCAGACACATGACACAATACTATAAAGTTGTAATCCTGCTTTACATAATTGGTACTTAAAGTGGCAACAAAGACTAAAGGCAAGTTGAGAGTAAATTAGGAAATTGTCAATTTTTCGATTTCATCATTCCTCTCATGTCTATTTTCTAAAGGTTCAACAATCCTGAGTTTTTTCCAGATTATTAATTTTTAGATTTTTATCAAGATCATCTGCCAAAAATTAAAATTAAAAAATATGTAGTTTCATCATAAATTCCAAAGTCAACAAATTTCACAGTTTTCTGAATAAATTAAGATTTTAAGAACAACATTGGGATGATTTTTCAAAAAATTGCTTCCAATGTTTTAACTCTATGTCTCTCTATGTCTCTCTAGTCTTTGCTTCCCCTTAAACTCATAACTTAAATTATTAATTACTAATAATAGTCCTATACTAAAACATTTGGCAAAACTTGCCTGTTATTCATGTTATCAACTTCATCTTGTTATCACAAAATAACAGTGAATGTGCAGTGAATAATAATTTTACTTAAATATGCAATTCTTCTAAAAGTTCAATAGTTGGTACAGATAATCTTGTTTCAATACCCTTTTGACCCAGTGATGGGCAGATGGGGGTGATTACTGCTTAAACTACTCTCATTTGAGACAATGGAGGAAAGAACCATAAAAATACAGGGTGGATATAAAGTCTCTTAACACTTTACATAGACTCCTGTTTTGTAAATTTTAAGAGGCATTATGGACATCCTGAATAAGTATACAATAAGTGTACAATTCAAATAATGTTAAATCAAATACCACGTGCAGTGATTGACTTTTAGAGTTCAGATTAGTAAGGGTTTACATACAAGTTTCTATGACATGGGAGTCCATGGGAGAATAATAAAATGAGACTGGAGTGTTTACATTAGAGGTGTTTGAATTAAAAGTAATATTTAAATCAACTGTTTTTACAGTACGAATGGATATCTTCTATCATACAGTCACAAAATCTAGTAACTTAGTTAGTCTGTAATATATTATATATATATTTATGGAGGGGTCATTTGAAGTCCGGGTGTTTTTGAGACTATATGATAGATTATATACGTGCACATACTCAAAAAATATGCCGCCATAGCCACAATATATGTGCTTACCCTACTATCACACCAAACTAGTTCTCACTACGTTCTCGAAAACGGGCTTTAACTGTGCACGAACGGATTTGACGTACTAAGAACATACTAAGAACCGTTTGGGATCTGTTTACAAACTTCATGTAACTACTAGAACGAGTAGGTTCTCCAGCACTTAGAGCATGCTCAAAATTTTCTGGTGATCGTCAAAACGTTGCCGAATCGGTTTTAAACTGTGTGCGAGCTGAATGAACGTAGATACAACGTTGTACGGTCTGTTTACGAACTTCATGGACTTTCCCGGACGGGGTGTGTGATTTAGAATTTTGAATCGATTCAAAATTCGATGGCGACCATACCGTTCTGTAATCAGGTCATGATGACCTTCTAGACTAAGGGACGGTTTCTACTACGTTGCACACCGACGTAGTGCGACCTGAACGAACTGCGAATGAGATGGACGTATTGAAGACTGTTTATGAACGAAGTAGCTAATTATTTTAGACATATATCCCGACCGCAGCCAGATTGAGCCCGTTTTACGACATTTTCGTAGGACTGGCAAGAACGGGTAAGAACTAGTTTGGTGTGATAGGGGGGTTACTGTGTGACTTCCATTGAACGAACAGAGAACATTTTGTTTTTCAAACAATTCATAAGAACAAAATAAGACATATAAGTTCAAAAATCTTAGAAACACAATAATTTCACTATTTTTATTAGACTACATACAACTTGCTGTAAAAACCTATAACCAAACACGTGCAATTCTCATTGAAAACGTGCTCATTTTTCCTGCACTGTTTACATAATTGTATTTGATCACACATGAGGGGCGATGCTGTTATTAAAGAGCACTGATACTAAAATGTTACCATGGCAACATTTAAGTGTTACCATGGTGACATTTAAGTGTAACCATGTTGACACCAATGCATAACTATGCTTTCTTTGTCGTTATTTCCATGCATGATTTAGATCATGATCATAGCGACTTAGTCATTGTAGTTATATATTTTGCAACAATGCAATTAGTAATGAGCTTCCAAGGTTACATGCCAGCAATAGTGAACAGTGTCAATATTTAACTAGTTTCCATAATGACCTGCAATATCAAGCAGTATAAATACTTAGTTAGCTTCCATAGTAGTGTATCAGTATCAGTATTTATTACAGCCTCAATGATTATTCTTTGAATGTTCATTGTTCAATGATTATTCTTTGAATGTTCATTGTTCAATGATTATTCTTTGAATGTTCATGGTTCAATGATTATTCTTTAAATGCTCATAGCTCAATGACTATTCTTTGAATGTTCATAGTTCAATGATTATTCTTTAAATGTTCATAGTTCAATGATTATTCTTTGAATGTTCATAGTTCAATGATTATTCTTTGAATGTTCCTGGTTCAATGATTATTCTTTGAATGTTCATAGTTCAATGATTATTCTTTGAATGTTCATGGTTCAATGATTATTCTTTGAATGTTCATAGTCCAAAGATAATTCTTTAAATGATCATAGTTCAATGATTATTCTTTAAATGTTCATAGTTCAATGATTATTCTTTAAATGTTCATAGTTCAATGATTATTCTTTGAATGTTCATGGTTCAATGATTATTCTTTGAGTGTTCATAATTCACTAACAGGCTCTTGTATTTGTCTCTGTGTAGCACTTCTCATGGTCTCCATCCATCTGCAATATCCAACATTCAAAAGTTTATAATAAATATCCAAAAATACTATATTAATTTGATATCTATCAATCCTGGTTATTACATAGTAGATAGGGTGACCCACCAGTAGAGATCATGTGATTATTTAATCAACCAATCACCATGCAGTAGATATCAGGTGACTGATCTATCAACCATTCACGAATCACAATACTAGCAGAGATCATGTGACTGTTCAATCAACCAATCATCACATCAGTAGAAATCATGTGACTCTTCTTCTGCCAATCAGCTATTAGCAAATAATATAATAGTGTTCTTTGAGCCAATCAGCTTTGAGTTCAGGACCCATGATTGTATATACAACCAATCAACTGTTAGAATACCTTAAATGGAGTGATGATGAGACAAGCAGATGTGTAGGCATTCATGCATAAAGCTTTTTACTTGGTCATTTGTGTATGCAGTCATGCAAAGGCATCATGAAAATAAGTAATTTCCTATTGGCTATTATACCACTTGTGACACACATTATTTCCATAAAAGGGCACACCAGTATCAAAATGTATTTGTGGTGTGTCATGAACTTCTAATTCATCTGTGGTGTGTCATGTTATCAGAATTAGTTTGTGCTGCCATTTTGGCATATCCATTTCATAACTATCAATCTTAAATTGTTTTCACAGAATTGTGAAATTTGTTGCTCATTGCACAGAGGCCACCAATAGATGGAGATGTTATAGCACTGTTGTAATTACGCTGTTACTTGATGTCCTTGAAATTGTTGTGACAAAACAACATTGCCATGACAACGCATTATCATCCAAATTTAGTTTCTAATGTAATCAATAGTATTTGTTGTATTTCATTGTTAGCTGGTTGCTATGGTGAGTTAGTTGGATGATCACTGGGGATAAATCATATTTGGCGGCTGACTGCTCTCTAGTCGCTCAAAGAGTCGAGTTCTCTTGGCGCTTTGTGTGGCACTACTAAGTGTCTCCACCCACCTACAAAAGCAGTGCATCGTGGGAATTATATGCATACACACACTCAAATATCTACTTTTATACATTTCAAAGGACCACTTCATATGAATAGTGTTTAAATCAGTGCCACTTTCACAATTTCTCAGTGAATCAAAAAAACTGATCTATTCTTGCAATGGTCCTGTAAAAGTATGTCTGTCCCCTTAAAAATTTGCATTTTCTACAAAATTTTGCGAATATGATTTTGAATTTTGCGATTTAAAACTGATATCTCTCTGGAGTGAATAGCATTCAAGAAGGTTATGCACTATGCGTCTAGTTGTGTAAAAAACGATCTAAATTTCTTGCTTTTTGTGTTTTTCTATGCGAGAAATTTTGCGAGACCCCCCATTTAGCTGAATTGCATTGTGATCGCAAAAACACATATTTCTAAGGGGACAGGTATGTAAAAAGTTAGTATACAGATGCCTCATTATCATCTTGCTTCATAACATCAAGAACATTACATAAATAATGTACATTGATAGAATCATTGATTGAGTAGAAATACATATACAGTACACATTACATAGCCTGGCTTTGTGTTTTGAAAATGCAACAAGATGACAATAAGCTTTCATTTTAACAACAAACTAGCTATATCTACATTTATATAAAGGTTTATTAGAGGCTAGAAAATGTGAGATCTTTAATATACAGATAATACTTTTCTATATATTTCATAATAAATACTTATGAATGTTATCCTTGAGATTTTAGCTCATCTATGAGATACAACAACATACAATAAGTACCACTACTGACTACTTAAAGCTCACTAAATATTAATAGCATGGAAATGTAACACAAGATTCCACTCATGTCATTCTATATTATGCAGGAAGTTTTAAATGAAACATTGGAAAAGCATTTAACTTTAGCACACTTTATTAATTTTAGACAACAGCGATTAAAACACGCAAACTGGAAAGGTAAAAACAGAGAGAGAATTAAAAAATTAAGGAAATACGATAACAAAACATCAATGCACCCTTCCCAATAATGGTGGTCATTATTTCTGTTAACATCCATGTTGACAGCCATACTGATTCAAGAATATTCAATTACCATGGTAACAACAACTAATTCTAGAATATACAATCACCATGGTAACAGCAACTTTCTGGACCTAATCCTCGATTAATTATCTATTTGTTCTGTTCTCTTTTTTCATTCCCACCTCACAAAAACAGTTTTTTCAAAAGTTGTTTAAAAATGATGGCCACAAAATTATGTCATGTGTTCTACATAGACATTTTGGAAGTCTTTAATTGTAGAAATAGTGATAAACGATACCATATAACTGCACGTTAAAAACTGTATATACATATAAATCAATAATAGCTTTTCCCCACAGCCCAAAGCAACATTAACTTTGTTCTTGGGACATTTTTTGATGTTTCAATTAAAAGAATGACATGATGTTATTGCCAATATCATGCAAAAGTGAACAGCTATACACATATAATAGTTTAGGTGTTACAATATTCAATATATTCCAGCGTAAAGAAGAAATATACAAATCAGAAGTAAAATTAGGGAAAGACAAACTTATATTGAACCCAAAAAAGCACACTGACAATGTGGATGACCAACAAAATATGATCCTAACACCCCTTTCAGCAATCATCTTCATGTGGAAGATTCTATTCTAATTGCAAGAATGGACTAGTCCATATAGTGAAAAATGATGCATAATAGGGGTGTATGGTTGGATGACAGCTATACCACATACATCTTCATACCTAAGATGATATTTAAGGCAAACGTTAATGCTTGGTGTTTACTCCAGTTGCCCCTCTGAGTTGACTGTCACTTGAGTTGATTGTGGCACTATTTATCACTTCCAGCCACCTATAGCCAATCAGATACCAGATAATATAATAAATGACCAATCAGATGGCTTGTTTGATAAGAATTAACCAATCAAATGCCTTGTCTGTGATATATATTACAACCAATCAGACACCATACTAAATTCAAGATTATTGAAGAACTGGATCCTTAGAATCTGATGTAATCTTAACAACCAATCAGATTTTTTAATTATTGATCATGTGACTAATAGAGCATCAGTGACTAGTGGAGCATGCATTCTATTCTTATGTGCCTGAATACTAAATATAAGAAGTCAATACTGAGACCCTCTGAGAAATATCAAGGAAGTGAAATGCACAAAATGGGTTCAGTATGGTATAACTGCAATTTTGAAAACAAATCAGGACTTTAAACAAGTCACAGTTGAATTGATACGTCGAATCATTAAAAGCATTAACCATCATTCAAAGAAACACTTTCAAAGGAAACTAAATACATTTTAACCCATGGGGGTACTAAAGATTGTGAGTCAATTAATTGGATTATATTTCTACAAACAAACCTATTGACTTCCAACATGAATTCAATATATTGGATAGAATGATGATGTCATAGATTGTTCTTTTTCAAAGTTAGCAATAAGTGGGTCTAGTGGGGGGGGGGTTCACTCTAAATAATTTGGGTAGGCATGTGCAGCAGGGGCAATTTTGCCTTAAAGATTCTCGCAATCTTTATCCAATCAGCGTTTGCGATGTGTATCGGCTCACATATAAAAGGCGAATCCAACTCAAATCCATGCAGGGGTGTATGAGGTACTCGAATAGGAAAGAGCTCGTGAAATCTAAATTTATATGTACATGGTCAATGTCTACACATGTTTGGAGTTATTGAAGAAAATGTGATATGGGTGTGGTTCTGAATTTGAAGGCATTGCTGGAAAATATGATTTTAATACGTGAAATTATATCTACAAGATATAAATACAGCACTAAAAATAACAGTACACATGAAGTACATGTATGATTATGTCCAGAAATGTTTGAAACCCTTACGGAAAATTCTGTCTGCATTTTGTCACCATTGCTCTTTCTTCCCGCATTCTAGTGCTGTTTGAATGAATATATTTATTAATGTATTTCTAACTAAAATATATCACATTTTTTTATAAACCACAAACATTTAGATCATAAAAAAATATTCAATACTTGAGTGCAAGGGTTACTAAGTTGACACAGTAAATGACCACTGTGATACAATGATATTGTGTTAGTCCATGTACACAGCGTATTCTGCTAATACACATTTGCTAACACCCCTCACTTTCATAGTGAAGTGACTAATTGGTTTATGTTTACGTTTTAATGTGTTTTGTGTTCCTGCAAGGGGGGCCAGTAAAGTAGACTAACATGTTTGCATGGCAAGTTTTGATCGAATATGTGAGACACTTTAAGGCATAAACCATGGAAGCTGGCCAATCTGAGAGGAAGAAAACATGGAAAAGGACGATTCTCGGTTTGGAGAACAGTCTCCCGGGCTAATAATTTTTTTCATGAAAAATATAGAAATATTACCCAAATTAAACTATGAATATTCAAAAGAGGACATTTAAATCTACAAGATGTAAAAATAACAAATTGGTCTGAAGCAGGGATAATGCTCAATTAGACCGATTCAATAAAATACAAGTCTCGATTTGGGGAAAAAAGTTCATCAGTGTAATGCACTAATACGTTTTTGCAAAAAATCTAGAAATATTACCCAAATTAAATTATGACTATTCGAAAGAAGACATTCAAATCTATATTATGTAAAAAAATTAAATTTGTCCGAAGCAGGGATAATGCTCATTTATATTGATGAACTTCGTTCTCCAAACCGAGAATCGTCCTTTGCAGAAGAGAGAGCCTTTTTTAAGTCAAAAATCAGTTTTTCTACAAATAAGGTAATAAATCGGTAAAATCAGTTGGCGAGGTCTGGAATTAATCACCTAAAAAGTGGATTTTAAAGTTATACACCAATATTTCAGGAAATTTACTCCCTTTTATAAGTCCGAGAGGAAGTATACATGGAAACTTTCAATCTCGAGAGGAAGTTGACATGGAAAAAATGCTCAAAAAGGGGGTCTTCAGCGTGGCACATAGGTGTTAAGAGGTATATTGGCGTAAACGCCCGGGGGTTTACCCTGTATTTGCTTGGGCTGATTGCTACCTAACCTGTGACATCATCGATCTAGTCAATATATCATAGTGTCTTTATTATACCAAAATGTGGCAGGATTAATTGGAGAGGTATATTGCTCTGTACTGAGACTACCTGCTGAAATACCCACCTTTCAAATGTGTATTCACTTTCCGCTCTGAAGAAGTATACATGATTCTTAAACTGCAGTTTAAATACGTAGTCTTTATGGATATTATCACTTTCTGCTGGTGTTGTCACGCTGTATCCTAGCAACGGTAAACTAGCCAATGGAAAGTCATCCTTGAAAAGAAACAATGGGATTGATTGGATAAAGAATATGCATCTTGTGCACTGTCAGGTATGTATACATAAAGGTTTTTTGATAATGAATTGGATATTGTCGTCATTCAGATTCAAATATCAAAATTCCTGAGGGTTTTTTATTTTATTTTTTATTTATTTGGAAACTACACTTTTACAACAGCAGCACACAAAAATTGGTGCATCCATTTAAATTACAGTTACATGAAGATAAAAACTGTAGTTCAGACAGTGCATTAATAAGTTGACTAAAATCTTGATTAAAATCATTGTATTAAAAACTTGAACTTAATGGAAAATAATGGAAAACCATAGTCATAATAGCTCTTTCATTTACACTTACTTGAAAAGTTTTGTAGAAAAATAAGCAAAAGTTAGTGAAGACAACCCATAATTTCTGCCAGCCATTGCTGTTCTTGAACTTTCTCAGTAGATAGCCACTCAGTTGGTTCTGAAAAACATGACTCGCACATGTACGTTTTATATCAAGGAATAATCTGCAAATTAAAAATTGTTTTCCAATTAAAAAGGACTATTTTGTCAGAAAGCCTCATTAAAAAAAACTATGCCTTGTTTTGAAGGAGGCAAAAATGCACTTCAAGCCTCTAAATGAAAAACTTGTGACCAATTTACAAAGAAGTTCCATTTTAAGGCCCCAAATGAATGAAACTTAGGTTTATGTATTTAATACCATGGAAATACCTTGGCTGCTTCATATTATGTTTAAGATTGCATCATATTTTAAATAAAGAACTTTATTGAATATCAATATGGCAACAAGCCCACATGGTCATATTTTATTTGAGAGGATCTTTCACATATTTTACCTCTATTGCCACGTAGTGATCATGTATGCTAACACTTGTATTCCTAATATTCTATTATTTTACCTCTATTGCCACGTAGTGATCATGTATGCTAACACTTGTATTCCTAATATTCTATTATTTTACCTCTATTGCCACGTAGTGATCATGTATGCTAACACTTGTATTCCTAATATTCTATTATTTTACCTCTATTGCCACGTAGTGATCATGTATGCTAACACTTGTATTCCTAATATTCTATTATTTTACCTCTATTGCCACGTAGTGATCATGTATGCTAACACTGGTATTCCTAATATTCTATTATTTTACCTCTATTGCCACGTAGTGATCATGTATGCTAACACTTGTATTCCTAATATTCTATTATTTTACCTCTATTGCCACGTAGTGATCATGTATGCTAACACTTGTATTCCTAATATTCTATTATTTTACCTCTATTGCCACGTAGTGATCATGTATGCTAACACTTGTATTCCTAATATTCTATTATTTTACCTCTATTGCCACGTAGTGATCATGTATACTAACACTTGTATTCCTAATATTCTATTATTTTACCTCTATTGCCACGTAGTGATCATGTATGCTAACACTGGTATTCCTAATATTCTATTATTTTACCTCTATTGCCACGTAGTGATCATGTATGCTAACACTTGTATTCCTAATATTCTATTATTTTACCTCTATTGCCACGTAGTGATCATGTATGCTAACACTTGTATTCCTAATATTCTATTATTTTACCTCTATTGCCACGTAGTGATCATGTATGCTAACACTTGTATTCCTAATATTCTATTATTTTACCTCTATTGCCACGTAATGATCATGTATGCTAACACTTGTATTCCTAATATTCTATTATTTTACCTCTATTGCCACGTAGTGATCATGTATGCTAACACTTGTATTCCTAATATTCTATTATGTTACCTCTATTGCCACGTAGTGATCATGTATGCTAACACTTGTATTCCTAATATTCTATTATTTTACCTCTATTGCCACGTAGTGATCATGTATGCTAACACTTGTATTCCTAATATTCTATTATTTTACCTCTATTGCCACGTAGTGATCATGTATGCTAACACTTGTATTCCTAATATTCTATTATTTTACCTCTATTGCCACATAGTGATCATGTATGCTAACACTTGTATTCCTAATATTCTATTATTTTACCTCTATTGCCACGTAGTGATCATGTATGCTAACACTTGTATTCCTAATATTCTATTATTTTACCTCTATTGCCACGTAGTGATCATGTATGCTAACACTTGTATTCCTGTGCCAACAAACATGCATCGTTGTATTCGCACGGTGCTGGATCTGTTTCTCACCACCAGAGAGCGCTGCAGTCTGATCATCTTGAAGATCGCTACTGTCAAGACCCTCAGAGCCTGCAATAAAGGAGGATATTACCCATGGTTCCCGTAAATGAAGAAGGTGGTTATTATAGCTCCTGATTGGTTTACAGCTCAAAATTATGAAAATAGTTTTTAAAACTTGGCAGGCACATTTCCTGAAGCATATAGCAATAGCTTTGTAGATGTACTATGCACATATTACAATTATTTCTCCTCTCTATTATTATGGTAAGTACATATTTGTCACTCTTATTACAGTTAATATATTACTCACTAGCATTTGACTTTAAGCTCTGGAACTTGATCTTTTCATCCCCCTGCTCTTTAGCTTTAAGTATTGCCTCAACCAAATCTTCTATCCATTTGTCTTTCTCTTCCTGTGTGGATGCTGCCACCATTAAACAACGGTTGCCACCATAAATAGCAAAACTATTGGCCACGTCCATCTTTGAGCCATTTTCTTCAACCTAAAGGTAGAATGATCTCCATGATTACAACAAGAATTCCATGATTTTTACAATGAATTCCATCATCAACAATAAAATTCCATGATAATAACAATGAATTCCATGATAACAACAATGAATTCCATGATTATAACAATGGATTCCATCATTACAACAATGAATCCCAAAATAACAGTAAATTCCAAAAATTATAACCATGAATTCCATACGCACAACAAGTATGGTGTATTTATTATAGATGGACAATTTGGAGATTACATAGGTGTCACACAATATATTAAGATAAAATGACGGTCTGAGAGACAATATAAATACAACTGTGCCAACTTATATAAAAAATAAATACTTACAATCATCCCTCTTAGGGGTAATTGACCATGAACTTTGAACTGTAACGTGGGCGTGGCTGTACGACTTGTATACACAAGCATATCAGAGAATAGGAAAAACATTCGCTGTTGGTAGCCTTTCCGTGATAGTTTTTGTAAGCATCCCTCGCGAATGAATTCTCTGATGGGCTGTACTAGGTTATCTATTCCTACCAAATCTCTTTGTAATTCTACTAGTTTCTGGAGATTTTCCTGAAATGAAATTTCATAATAGTGAGAAAGGGAACATAGGGCTTCCTAATGGACTAACATTGGAGAAGGTATTCAATTTAATCAGTTTTACTATGGTACAATCGATTTTGTCATAAACTATCATGAGTAAAAACACATGTAAAATAATCATCAGAGTGAAAATACATGTAAGATAATCATCATAATGAAAATACATGTAAAATAATCGTCATAATGAAAATACATGTAAAAATACATGTAAAATAATCATCATAGTAACGATACATGTAAAATAATCATTATGAAAATACATGTAAAAATACCCAGCATTTTGATTTTGTTTTGGGACTTCTTTTTGTGTTTTTCTTTTGTGGCAATCATTCATGCAAAGAGTACTTGTCAAGAAAATATTTTCCCAACATCATGTTAAGTTTATTAGATCATACCATTAAAACAACTATAACTACTCTATATAATTACATGCAATTTTTATATTATAAATGGAGAAAGTAATGTTCTTTGTCTTACCAGATGTCTGACTTGGTCCTCAAACCTGGATGTGATTTCTTTAACCTTCTGAAGAGCCTCATAACAATCCCTATAGTCATTATGGTCATTATTGTAGTGACTAAGCAGGCCTGTAATATATAGTATATATAGATCATAACAATCCCTATAGTCATTATGGTCATTATTGTAGTGACTAAGCAGGCCTGTAATATATAGTATATATAGATCATAACAATCCCTATAGTCATTATGGTCATTATTGTAGTGACTAAGCAGGCCTGTAATATATAGTATATATAGATCATAACAATCCCTATAGTCATTATGGTCATTATTGTAGTGACTTAGCAGGCCTGTAATATATAGTATATATAGATCATAACAATCCCTATAGTCATTATGGTCATTATTGTAGTGACTAAGCAGGCCTGTAATATATAGTATATATAGATCATAACAATCCCTATAGTCATTATTGTAGTGACTAAGCAGGCCTGTAATATATAGTATATATAGATCATAACAATCCCTATAGTCATTATGGTCATTATTGTAGTGACTAAGCAGGCCTGTAATATATAGTATATATAGATCATAACAATCCCTATAGTCATTATGGTCATTATTGTAGTGACTAAGCAGGCCTGTAATATATAGTATATATAGATCAGAACAATCCCTATAGTCATTATGGTCATTATTGTAGTGACTAAGCAGGCCTGTAATATATAGTATATATAGATCATAACAATCCCTATAGTCATTATTGTAGTGACTAAGCAGGCCTGTAATATATAGTATATATAGATCATAACAATCCCTATAGTCATTATGGTCATTATTGTAGTGACTAAGCAGGCCTGTAATATATAGTATATATAGATCATAACAATCCCTATAGTCATTATGGTCATTATTGTAGTGACTAAGCAGGCCTGTAATATATAGTATATACAGATCATAACAATCCCTATAGTCATTATGGTCATTATTGTAGTGACTAAGCAGGCCTGTAATATATAGTATATATAGATCATAACAATCCCTATAGTCATTATGGTCATTATTGTAGTGACTAAGCAGGCCTGTAATATATAGTATATATAGATCATAACAATCCCTATAGTCATTATGGTCATTATTGTAGTGACTAAGCAGGCCTGTAATATATAGTATATATAGATCATAACAATCCCTATAGTCATTATGGTCATTATTGTAGTGACTAAGCAGGCCTGTAATATATAGTATATACAGATCATAACAATCCCTATAGTCATTATTGTAGTGACTAAGCAGGCCTGTAATATATAGTATATATAGATCATAACAATCCCTATAGTCATTATGGTCATTATTGTAGTGACTAAGCAGGCCTGTAATATATAGTATATATAGATCATAACAATCCCTATAGTCATTATGGTCATTATTGTAGTGACTAAGCAGGCCTGTAATATATAGTATATACAGATCATAACAATCCCTATAGTCATTATGGTCATTATTGTAGTGACTAAGCAGGCCTGTAATATATAGTATATATAGATCATAACAATCCCTATAGTCATTATGGTCATTATTGTAGTGACTAAGCAGGCCTGTAATATATAGTATATATAGATCATAACAATCCCTATAGTCATTATGGTCATTATTGTAGTGACTAAGCAGGCCTGTAATATATAGTATATACAGATCATAACAATCCCTATAGTCATTATGGTCATTATTGTAGTGACTAAGCAGGCCTGTAATATATAGTATATACAGATCATAACAATCCCTATAGTCATTATGGTCATTATTGTAGTGACTAAGCAGGCCTGTAATATATAGTATATACAGATCATAACAATCCCTATAGTCATTATGGTCATTATTGTAGTGACTAAGCAGGCCTGTAATATATAGTATATATAGATCATAACAATCCCTATAGTCATTATGGTCATTATTGTAGTGACTAAGCAGGCCTGTAATATATAGTATATACAGATCATAACAATCCCTATAGTCATTATGGTCATTATTGTAGTGACTAAGCAGGCCTGTAATATATAGTATATACAGATCATAACAATCCCTATAGTCATTATGGTCATTATTGTAGTGACTAAGCAGGCCTGTAATATATAGTATATACAGATCATAACAATCCCTATAGTCATTATGGTCATTATTGTAGTGACTAAGCAGGTCTGTAATATATAGTATATATAGATCATAACAATCCCTATAGTCATTATGGTCATTATTGTAGTGACTAAGCAGGCCTGTAATATATAGTATATATAGATCATAACAATCCCTATAGTCATTATGGTCATTATTGTAGTGACTAAGCAGGCCTGTAATATATAGTATATATAGATCATAACAATCCCTATAGTCATTATGGTCATTATTGTAGTGACTAAGCAGGCCTGTAATATATAGTATATATAGATCATAACAATCCCTATAGTCATTATTATGGTCATTATTGTAGTGACTAAGCAGGCCTGTAATATATAGTATATACAGATCATAACAATCCCTATAGTCATTATGGTCATTATTGTAGTGACTAAGCAGGCCTGTAATATATAGTATATACAGATCATAACAATCCCTATAGTCATTATGGTCATTATTGTAGTGACTAAGCAGGCCTGTAATATATAGTATATACAGATCATAACAATCCCTAGAGTCATTATGGTCATTATTGTAGTGACTAAGCAGGCCTGTAATATATAGTATATACAGATCATAACAATCCCTATAGTCATTATGGTCATTATTGTAGTGACTAAGCAGGCCTGTAATATATAGTATATACAGATCATAACAATCCCTATAGTCATTATGGTCATTATTGTAGTGACTAAGCAGGCCTGTAATATATAGTATATATAGATCATAACAATCCCTATAGTCATTATTGTAGTGACTAAGCAGGCCTGTAATATATAGTATATATAGATCATAACAATCCCTATAGTCATTATGGTCATTATTGTAGTGACTAAGCAGGCCTGTAATATATAGTATATACAGATCATAACAATCCCTATAGTCATTATGGTCATTATTGTAGTGACTAAGCAGGCCTGTAATATATAGTATATATAGATCATAACAATCCCTATAGTCATTATTGTAGTGACTAAGCAGGCCTGTAATATATAGTATATACAGATCATAACAATCCCTATAGTCATTATGGTCATTATTGTAGTGACTAAGCAGGCCTGTAATATATAGTATATAGATCATAACAATCCCTATAGTCATTATGGTCATTATTGTAGTGACTAAGCAGGCCTGTAATATATAGTATATATAGATCATAACAATCCCTATAGTCATTATGGTCATTATTGTAGTGACTAAGCAGGTCTGTAATATATAGTATATATAGATCATAACAATCCCTATAGTCATTATGGTCATTATTGTAGTGACTAAGCAGGCCTGTAATATATAGTATATATTCCATTCTATTGAGGTGAATACATGTTCATCTTTCCCCCGCAGCCCGAAGGGCAAGGGAAATATACCTGAGGGAAAGATGAACATGTATTCACCGAAAATAGAATGGAATATTTGATTTATTATATCATTTGAATGTTCTACAAATTAAGTGTTTTTCTTTTAATCATTTAATACATAGATACAAAACATGTGCCCATCAGAATAACCACTCTAACTACAGCCACTCTTAGATGCAAGATATTGCCATCTTTCATCCTCAACTTTCTACCGTGGTATATACTCCGTGGTATATACATCGTGGTATATACAGTTGAAAACGAGGCTGCGTCTGGAGACTGTAGGAATCAATGAAATACACCTTAATATTTTTAATCATGTGATCGGTTCTTATCCAATGAGAAAGTGAGAAACATTTTAATGATATAATAAATAGATATATTTAGATATGATATAATGTAATATCACAGATAATAAAAAAACCATGGTCAATGTTGTACAGATCATGGTCATTAATATAACAACTATGGTAACCATATATAACATCCCATTACTATGATTGTAGACTTACGTGTGAGTATAAGCTGATAGTGGAGCAGCCTCTGGGCAGGTTTTAGAAGGAATGTATTCAAAGGCAGGTAGCAAACCTTCTGACCCTCAAATTCTTTATAGATTGTTTCAAATTTGCGATTAGTTCTCTGAGCATTTTGGATCTCGTTCAAAATCTCCTCATGTTTTTCTATGTAGTTTATGTATAACTGAAACAGATATTTTCCATGTTATTTGTATGGCATATAAATCAAGGCATTAACATACATATGTCACCATCTACCACTAGTTAAAGATACCGATCGGCAACGTCATTTGTTCCAGAAACCAATAACTGAACAACAATTGCAGCGCCATCAACAAAAAATTGGAGACTTTTTACAAATTATCACCACTAAGGGTAGTAACATAATAAACATATATTTTTAAACATACAGGGCGGATATGCTTTTGTAATATTGCATTAAATAGCAGTTATAGGCTGACAAAATTGAATGTGAAGTCTATTTCTTTATTTATGTTTTGGTTTACATACTGGACATGAAATGCAGCAGAACTTCTGTAATCCAAAATCCTCTCAATGTCAACTGTTGTTCTAAGTCTCAATTTTATTATCACCTATTGACTCATATATACATAAGAGAAAAACCTTGAAATGTGAACACCTGCTAATCCAAACACTTTGAAATGAGAAGTGGCATTTGTTTTAGACTGAGGTTAAACTGTATAGAGTCCAATGAATCACTTTTGCCACCTTAAGACCATTGAGTGTTTTACTGTATAGAGTCCAATGAATCACTTTTGCCACCTTAAGACAGTTGAGTGTTTTACTGTATAGAGTCCAATGAATCACTTTTGCCACCTTAAGAGTGTTGAGCCACCTTAAGACCGTTGAGTGTCAAAATGTTAGGGAAATCCATTTACCTGTAGGACCTCCATATTATTCAGCATGACATCACCAATCCGTCTGTATTCCCCATTCAGATGAGCATTGGACTTGCCCTCCCTGGAAGTAAGATAACATTGATAAACAGACATTCAGGCCAAGTTTTAACATACAATTTAGTTTTTCTTCTACTTCAGTTACTTTAATTCAATAAGTGCATTAGAACTAAGTTATGGAACTCAAAGAGGATATGATGACGTCTGCTTTGAGTCTGATGCATTATGGGAGGAAATATCTGCCATAATCAGAGATTTTGGGAACATTATATGCAGTTTATTATGATATTAAAAACGCAGGGGATAAAAAGTCTGTCAGGCTCAAAACTATTTAGGGTTCTAAAATGCAAAAATTCCTATATATCATTTATAACACTGCCATTTGTTGGACTATCATATGAAATAAATGTCCATAAGATAAACTCACCAGAAGGCCAACCTCTGTTCAACCTCCCTAAGGAACTGACAGTGTTGTTCATAAAGAGGGTCAAGGTGAGAGAACATCAAGTGCATCAGAGTCTCTGGCCACACATCTTCCTTGCTAGCTGCATTACGGAACCACTGAAACAGGAAACGTCTGCTATTATCCAGGTGCATTATGGGAGGAAACGTCTGCTACTAGCCAGATGCATTATGGGAGGAAATGTCTGCTTTAAGTCAGAATCATTATGGGAGTAATATCAATAGCTTATAAATTCAAAACATGAGAGATATAATGAAAGAAATCAATATATTTTATTAAGTCATGCAAAAAACATGGCCATATTATATATAAACTTCTTCAAACAATTTCCTTTAATTAGATTGATGCAGACCAAGAAATAAACGTTTCGACTAAAAAATCTCTAGCTGGCTGGCTAAGATTGTATAACCTTGACAAAACAGTTTTTCTTTGGCTATGAGAGGTCTTAGAATAGAACATAATATAACTGTCAAAATCATGTAGACAGTACATGTAGTTGCAAACTAAAACATTGATAGACTATGTATTAAACGTTGGTTCAAGAATGTTAGTAAAACTACAAGAGATAGATTGTTGTAGTCCAGAGGGGTGAAGTATGTTTAATGGAAGAGCTATAACATGAGTACTGTTATATATTGTAATAAAGTATATTGAATATGATATACAAAATGGGGAAGGCACATTGCCTTTAGGTCCTTTTAACCCAGCCAATGTGAGTCAAGATCTGAGATATAATCAAGTGCTAAATTAACAGACAGTCTAACACAAAGACACAAGAAATGCTTCAAATTAAGCTATCCTTCCCTCATTCATATTGGAGCATTCCCCATGTGACCAATGTACATGTTTCCTCTGGGCTGTGCCTCAGACCACAGACAGTATCCGTACCCAATCCTACCATGTAAACCTACATGGTATCATGGATAGTGAGAGGCTTCTCCATATGATATACAGGGTGCCCATAATATCTCTTTACACTTTACATCAGCTTTGTATTGTAATTGTAGAGACGTTACAGACACCCTGTACGTCTACCAAGAGTCAACAGAACACAGTATTCTAGGGTCTCTCATGTGGATGGTACCTGGACATTCCAGTTTTCTGTATGAAAAAATCCTGCATGGAACAATTGTTACTGACAAGAACTGAATTTGTGCTAGGATTTTCATAAGGTATGATTCAATCTTAAAAACCTGACCTAGATACCACAGACTGCATTTGGGTAGAGATTAAATATAGAAATACTAAAATTTTATATGGGATTTACTACAAATCTCCAAATTTAGATAAAAATCAAGAAAAGATATTTTTTGATACCGCTGAAAACACTTTTAAGCAGGCCTCTAAATGCCAGTGTGATTACCTACTGATAAATGGGGATTTTAACTCTAAGAACAAAAAATGGTGGTCTAAGGGGCAAACTGATTCAAATGGGGAAAGACTTGATGAAATTTTGATGGAATGTAACCTTGTTCAACTTATCCATGAAGCCACAAGAATAACTAATCAATCACGATCATGTATTGACCTAGCAATAACTAATTCACCTGATCTGATAAGGGAATCTAAAGTGACTCATCCAATAAGCTGTACTGACCATTCAACATTGGAACTTACATTTCCAATGAAAATTTTAGGAACTTCTAAACATCAAAAACGTATTTGGAAGTATGACCAATCTAACATAGAGCGAATAAACAGCCAAATATTTGACATAAACATTGAACAAAGATATAATGAATGCAATGATATTGACCAATTAACAGAAACATTTACTAGAGATGTATTTAACATCTTTGAACAAAACATTCCAAATAAAATAACTACCTTTAATTCAAAAGATCAACCTTGGATAAATAACGATATTAAACACCTGATTAGGAAAAAATCACAATTTTATGAACGGTTCAAAAATTCAAACAAGCAGATTGACAATGATAACTATAAACTTTTAGCTCAGCAAGTTAAAGATAAAATCACTGAAGCAAAAGAAAATTACCATTCCAAAATATGTGACAACCTTGAGGCAGAAAATAATGGAAACAACAAATACTGGGCAATCATTCAAAAACTTTTAAATAGAAAATACTATACTGGATTTCCCTCTTTGATCTTTGGGAATCTACTTGCAACTACAAGCCTTGAAAAGGCAAATTTGTTTCTATCTTTTTTTACATCAAAATATCACACTGACCACAATTTTGACCATTCACTCCCACAATTTAATAAAAGAACCCATATCAAAATGGATAACTTAAGCACATCATCAGAAGACCTTGACCTTATTATTAAATCACTAAAAAAGAATAAAGCAGCTGGCTTAGATAATGTAACCAATGATATGATCAAATTAGCTTCCCCATCACTATCAGTTAAGCTTGCTGACCTCTTTAATCTTATCTTCAAGACTGGAGAATTTCCAACTATATGGAAGGAAGGCAACACCATCCCCATCTTCAAAAAAACCGACAGATCAGCTATTGAAAATTATAGACCTATAACTTTACTTCAAGGATTTTCAAAAATCCTGGAGACAGTTGTCCACTCTCAAATTACCGAGCATATTTTTAGAAACAAACTACTCTTTGCAAAACAATCCGGATTCTTAGCTGGTCATAATACTGAACTCCAAATTACGGCTATCATTGACTTTATTTTGAATGAATTCGAAAAAGGGAAATGTGTAAATGCCTGTTTCCTTGATATCAGTTCTGCGTTTGATTCTGTTCCGCACTCTCTACTTCTCCATAAACTAGAATCTTACGGAATTTCTGGTATGACCCTAACACTTCTTAAATCCTACCTCTCAGAAAGAAAAATCTGTGTAACAGTTGATGATGTAAAATCGAACTTTTCAAATATCGGATACATTAACACAGGAGTACCTCAGGGATCTGTCCTTGGGCCACTCCTATTTCTCATCTACATAAACGATCTTCCTGACAACCTCAGATCAGAATGTTATATTTATGCGGACGACACGTCAGCCTATGCCTCTTTCAATATCGATGATAACCAAACCTTTGACCTGCAACATGATCTGAACATAATTGAACAGTGGTCTATTAAATGGCATTTACAATTTAAAGCATCAAAAAGTGCTCACATGATATTCCAACCCAAGAATATTAATAATTTTGACATTATGCCCTTATTCTTTGAAGGTGTTGAAATCCCATACAAAACTTCCCATAAACACCTGGGATTCACTTTTGACCACCGATTAAAATTTGATGTACATATAAGTGAACTTGCCAGCAAGGTGCAAAAACAACTCAATCCACTGAAATCACTATCTTATAAATTAAAATCTAGGCACCTTGAACTTATATATAACTCCTTTATTTTACCACACCTGGACTATTGTAGTTCAATCTATGGCTCAAGCACAGCTCAAAATTTGATAAAACTAGACAGATTGCACTATAGAGCAGCACTCAGCTGCTCTGGGGCATTACATGGATCAAGTACTCTTAAAACTCTTGATTGCCTGAAGTGGAAACCACTTGAGTCCAGAAGGAGAGACAAAAATCTTATTATTATGTTTAAAATTTGTAGAAATATGGCACCCGATTATATTGTTGAATGTTTTGACCATTATAAATCTGAGCAAAGAAGGGTTCTCAGAACCCATAGACCTTTCCAAATACCGGTTAAATCAAGTGCACGACTAATTAATGGACCAGTGCTAAGATTGATCTCTGAATGGAATAAGTTATCACTAGAAGAGAGGTCTACTCCCACCATCTCTTTGTTCAAAAGTAAAATCAAAAAGAAATCTTCAAAGTTTAATGACTTCAATACAACTTCTAAACTCAATCTTTCTCGAAAACAAGAAATTACCTTAAACAGAATTAGATGCGGACTCTATTTTGAATCTCAAAAGTTTGCTCATAATTTTCCCAACACAACTAATCTATGTGTCTGTGGTAAGAGTGCAACCCCTAAACACCTGATTCTGCAATGTAAGCGCCATTCAACACAAAGGAAAAACCTTGAAGAAACCCTTGAGCAGCAAAACCTTGAGACCCATCTCAGTGGACAAGACAAAATTGAATTTTTAATTTTCAAAAATTCATTCTCAATTCAACAAGATTCTCAACTAAAAGGAAGGTTCGTTGATTTTATTCTTAGCTTAACCTAACCTATTTTATTTTGATTTACTTTTCACCATTAGGTGTAGGCTACTAGTTAGCACATTTATATGTATAACTCACTCAATTAATTAAATTAATTTAATTTATATTCATTTCAAAACGCTAGCCTGTAATGCACATTGCGCTAGGCAGCGACCTGTGTAACTCTTTTGACTGCAATATGATTGAAATAAATGTATAATGAACCGAAAATCTTAAAAAGTCCCGGAATTTTTTTTTTTACAAATTTTGTGAAAATTTTGCAAATTCTGTAGAAAAACTGCAAATTCTGAAAAGTCTGCAAATCCTGCATATTTTTGAGAAACTGGCAATTGTGTAGCGCGATCAAACAGAACTCTGGAAAGTTTCACATCCCACATTGAGAACACACAACTAAAAACTGTTAGTAAAATTATTCCATCATCATCATCTAACCAACTAAAACAAAACAAGTTCTAATGGAGGAGGGTAAGACCAACTAAGGGCCTAAATAGGAGGGCCTAAATGATTATGGCCTAAATAGGAGGGCCTAAACAGTGTTTTTCCTAAGGCAAAATACATCACAGGACCACCGGACTGACAGGTTCTACATTTTGGCCAGTCCATACCAAAACTCATCGGACATTCGGACCTGTAACTTCAGTTTAATCACCGGTCCGTGTGAAAACTAACCAGTCCAAGACTAAGAGAGAAATGAAAGTAACAAATTTTAGAGCGAATTTCTTGCGAATTCAGTTTCAAATCAGCCCATAATCGCATGTTTTTATACATGTTAAAGGTGACCTACTTCTCAGCGTACACTTAAACAGGCAACATGCCTATTTTTGAAGAAAAAATGATGAAATATTATTTTAGACATGTTACTCTCACACTCAATCAAATATGATTAAAACTTTAATTTGGGATAATACTGAAGTGAAAAAAAAATTACTCGCATAGAAAACAGCATTTGAAGTTCAGATATCCAAAAAAGTGAATTACCACTTTTCACAAAGTGGATCTTTTAGATAACTCTTGGATTAAAAGATGGCGTATGTTTGAAAATTCTATCAAAATCAAAGGATAATGTCATGCAAAAAACTTCGCCATCTTTCATTAGCATTGCTAAAAACTTGACATATATAAATTGATAGATTGAAAATATTTTTTGATAATCTAGTGACAACTCTGATGTGGTCTGTTTGAGGTGTTTTTGGTGTCAAATGAAAGATCAGGTACTTATCAATCCATTGGAAATACTATGAAGATCAAAAGTAAAACTTCAATTTCCCAATAATATGCATTTATTCCCTTTAACTGCAAATTATATTGAATTCGGACGAAATTTCCGAAAAAATCATCAAAAAATTAACTTTAAAGTTTACATTATTAATGCGCATGCGCATAATTCTATCGTTTTGAAAATGCTTTTGATTGGTCGATCAACTAAAATTCACGTGCCATCACTCGTGGCTCACCATGAGGTCTGCATGCTTACGAATACGGTTTCACGATAGCCCTGATAAACAGGCGTAATAATCATGGGAATCTCGAAAACGATCCAATATATGACAAAATTAACCAACCAATCAGCGATCAGATTTTGCAATGATACCGAAAGATAAACCAAGGGCGAACGTAATACCTGGATCGTTCGCAAATTGGCGTTCGGTTTTTTACCGCACCCGATTTGAATTAGCCAATAAAACCTCACGCGGTGAAAAAATCGAGATGATTACCCAAGAGTCTAATCAACCAATCGGAGAACAGTTTCTGTTTGATGCTGATAAAAAAATGATGATACGTAAACATCCTCCCGTGCAGCCAATTTCACTAATATGATTTTTAGAATTTCAAGGTTTTACCGTAGATATAATGAGATTTCAGACAGCGATCGGACCAAATTTGGGAGTAAAGAAATGATTTTAGATGAAGAACCGGACACAGGCAGAATTGAGGACTGGCTACTTGATAAAATTCATTAGTCCGAAGCCCACATCACCGGAGATGTCCTATGGTCCGACGCTTAGGAAAAACACTGGGCCTAAATGTAAGGACCTAATGTAACGGCTTACCGTATCTTTAAACCACTGGAAGTAAAGCAAAACAGTAAAAGAATTTTGAAAAATTCACAAAAGATGATAATGAAATATAAGAAACTAATGAAAACAAGCATAAAAATGAAGTGGTACCTAATTCTCATTTTTGGAATATTTTCGGAAAATATGAATATCTTATTGAAACACTTATTTGTGGACTGGATACAACTTCATATTGGCAAAATGATGAGAGGATAGAAAGTTTGGCTCTTCAGTTTGGCTTGGTTTAAACCTCTCTGAGAAAATACATCTTGCTTTTTATGTACACAGATCAAATCAGGTGGATTTGAAAAATCCCTTTCTTGAAAATGTGAGCCACCTTTTATAAATCCCTCCCCCCCTTATGGAGACAGTACCACTTCATCTAATGTATGAATTACAAGAACTGCTATTTGTTTAGAACAGAGTGGCAAACTCAAACGTGTCATAAATCACTCAGAATTACAGAGTGTTCATAAATCACTAAGAATTACAGAGTGTTCATAAATCACTCAGAATTACAGGGTGTTCATAAATCACTTAGAATTACAGGGTGTCCTTAAACCACTCAGAATTACAGGGTGTTCATAAATCACTCAGAATTACAGAGTGTTCATAAATCACTCAGAATTACAGGGTGTTCATAAATCACTCAGAATTACAGAGTGTTCATAAATCACTCAGAATTACAGGGTGTTCATAAATCACTTAGAATTACAGGGTGTCCTTAAACCACTCAGAATTACAGGGTGTTCATAAATCACTCAGAATAACAGAGTGTTCATAAATCACTCAGAATTACAGGGTGTCCTTAAACCACTCAGAATTACAGGGTGTTCATAAATCACTCAGAATAGCAGGTGCACAGGGTGTACAACAATACATAGCAGTGCAGACATGTGCAGACATGTGCAGACATGATTGTCATAATCAGAAAAATAAGCACGGTAACCTAAAGTTAAATCACTCAATGAAACGTGATAGATTAAGGTATATACAAAGGATATAAAGCGAATCAAATCAAAAATGTTCGACTAAAGGCTTGAGATTTTATAAAGTGCTAAATGCCTGAAAGAAACACCATTTTAACAATCCCAACACCAATCCTACCATTGTGACATTCCCACCATTGTGACATTCTCAACAGTGTGACATTCCCTCCATTGTGACATTCCCACCATTATGACATTCTCAACATTGTGACATTTCCTCCAGTGTGACATTCCTACCATTGTGACATTTCCAACAGTGTGACATTTCCTCCAGTGTGACATTCCCACCATTGCGACATTCTCAACATTGTGGCATTCCCTCCATTGTGACATTCCCACCATTGTGATATTCTCACCATTATGACATTCCCAACATTGTGACATTCCAGTCACTATGGTATCTCATAATTTAGATGCTGTCACTGACTGTACACATAGGCTATAAGAAAATCAATAACTTACAACTGTCAAGACCTCCAAATCTTTCTTGTAAGTGCGCTCTGTCATCAGCAACTCTTTGGCAATGTAGTAAGCCCTATCAGCTGGGTACTTCTAAAACACATAAACATTATAATTACATCAGGTTAAGATAAGAAAATGTTGTCCATAGAATTCTATTCCCGAGGTGGAGCAAAATTCTCATTTCAAGCGTGTGCACCTTGGTATTTAAATGCATGCGAGTTTATTGTGAAAATCTCAAGTGGGTGAGGGCCCACTTGCTCCCATGCTGGGGAAATCAATGTATACAACTTTTTTGTATCTGATATGTATTTAATTATTTATCAAAAATCACAAACATATTTACATAACAGTGATATTAACACCCAACAAAGGGTGATTAAATTCATCAACAACTATTACTAAAAACTTCAACAAAAAGCTCAAACTTCTTTCATATCTGCACTGGAAAATTGGAGCAATTTGAAACTACAGGTGTTTGTAAATACTCATGTTATCTTATAAGTCAATAAGCATTTTTGCGAGGGTCTAGTTAGCATTAAAGAGGCACTAAGCAATTATTCTAACCTTTTGATTTTAATTAACTTGTTATATTAATTTCTCCAAAATAATTTGATATACCTTTCCTTTCAACATTAATTTGTACCTCATCCTTTAGATAAATGTGCACGCCCCATCCTTTAGATATATATCTTTTATTGACTCTTTAGATGTCATATGATGACATATTAGTCACTAAGGTAGAGCAGTTCTTCCCATTGTCGAGTTGAAGAACTGGTATCTTTATCCTGGCTAGAACCATAGACAATTCTAGGCAGCGCCAGCCTTTTATCGAGTTAGCAGCACTCTAGTAATCGCCAGTATAGTTCAGCAGTCATAGGTCAAAGACAAATCACAAGAAGTGCTGTGACCTGTGCCTTAACCACTAGGCCAACCCGGCGACCACAGGTGTATCATATACATACAATCAAACATTATTTTACCTTTCTCCTTCCGTCATCCTCAGAGTCATGCTGATGTACAGGAGACCCCATACTAGCTGCACTAAGTTTATCTGATGTTGTAGAGCGAGATTTTGGCAATGAACGCTCATTTTCATCCCTAGTTACTGTGGTTACCACCGTTTCCTTGGTGATCTGAAGAGATAGGGGAGGAGGGTGCTAAGTGGGATGAGACAGAATAGAAACAGACTAGTGCACAGATATTAGAAAATTACCCAGAGTTCATAGGAAAGTAATCTAGCCTCTGATTTTGCGATTTGAAATTGACCAATCAAAGAGCATATTTTAACCAAAGAGCACATTAAACCAATAACTGAGCATATAGGGAGGGGATCATCTTTAACGGAATACAACCACCTTATGCTTGTTAAAAAGAACAAGATCCTCGGACAAGTACCAATGATTTTACAGTTTGACATCTGTCCAGTCAAAGAACATTTAGTCAAGGGTCATATTTAAGGGAATAGTTTGTCAACTTTTGAAAAGGGTAGTTGATACATTATTAGAAAACATGGCAAGTTAGGAGAGATATTGTGTGGCATAACTGTGCATTAGGCTATTTCAGGAAAGGGTGCTACTTCTTTACCAAACTACATACACTGCCAGTACATCACACAAACCCAAAAATACAAATATATGCAATTTCCCCGATTAAGAATTATTTTTTGTTAGATCTTTAAAACAGAATTTGAATCACTGGTTGCTTTATTTGTAATTTCTATCTAAAAATTATATAGTACAGATTCTAAGTATTGACATAAAATTGTTTATATTCACGTCAATGTAGCGATAATATGAAAGAATTCAAATAGAGCATGACGTGATGAAATTGTGGTAAAATGAAAAATTTGATGAAAAAGATGTGAAAAAATGTTGCATTGGATGAAATCACCAAATTCCAAAATGATCTTAGTATGTTTGTAATAATTCACCAATTGTTAGAAAGGTGTATATTGTGATATATAATCTGGCAGTGTATTAGAATTAGCAAGCTCTTTATTTCTACATAGCTCTACAAGTAGATTATTAACTTATGTGCATTTAGTCATTAGACTAGTTTGCACTAAACCTCAACCTTCAGTATCATTAACATATGTGATATCAACATTTTTTTATCCTTTCATCTGGGGGTTTTAGGGCCATTATAAATAATACCGTCCAAACTATTTTTACTTTTAGGGTCATTATCAATAATACTACAATTTCTTTATTGATTTTTTCATTTAGAAATTTTTAGGATCTAAACAGCTAAGTAGCTGTTTTTGTTGATTAAGATTTTCTGATTTTCATTCTAGGGGGCGAGACAAAATATTAACTTTGTGTTATAATGTACATTGGCATTTTGACTTGACCCCTAAATACATTTCAATAATATCACATATGTTATTGACAAAGATTATAATTGCAATTACACTACATTTCTAAGTTTCATTAGGAGGATAACTGAAAGCCATTAATCACCATAGAAACATTAATATTATAAAATGACAGCTTTTGGCAACATGAAAAAGCTTCTAAAGCCATTTCTAATAATTACTTTATATATACCAATGGAAAGCTAGATTTGAAAAATGTGAAAAATGGTCGACCCATCACCTTTGTATGATGACAGGTGACATGAGACACTGTGAAACAACAGACTCAGTCTTTAATACAATATAAAACACTGACGCTTTGATGAGGTTACCATGGCCTTTTATATTGTACTATGGCATTGTATATTGTACTATGGCCTTTTATATTGTACTATGGACTGGATGTGTGTATCAGAAATGTGTAAATTACAAGACATACAGAAATCTCTAAAATTAAAAGATTAAATTAGTGTCCTCCTAAATTCTCAAAAACCAGGTGCAAAAATTCATCTCTCATTTTCTAACTAAAAATCATATCCAAGACTCGTCAAAATATGGCAATTTTTCAAAAATTAGACAAAAATTGCCATTACTGATAAACTGATATTCAACAAGGTGGAGGATAAAATGCATGTTGAAAATCGGGTGCAGCACCTGGTTGTTTCAAGAAATTGGGGAGATCACTAGAAAAGTGAATGTGAGAGGTCATAATGATGATGTCATAATTACCTTAGTTGCCCTAGCAACAGATGGCGAAACAGAATTGACTTCCTGTAGAGGTTCTGGGGGAGGTGGAGGGAGTGGTTCTGGTTCATCATCATCCTGCAAAATATGCGCATATAAATGAGTCAATTATATATGCGCATTTAAATGAGTTCATTATATATGCGCATACTGATGAGGTAAATATGTATGCACATATTGATGAAATAATAATGTATACCTAATATACATGTTATATATGTAATGCATATATTAAAGGCAGAATCTGATCTATAGGGGGTGACAAAATTACAAGCAACATGTATAATTGACCTACCAATCTATTCCTTACAATATCAAATACAATATCTCCCAAAAGATTCACAATATGTTATAAATTGGTGAAGTTATTAATGATTCAAAGTGCAAAAATGATTGAAAATTGTTTAAATTCTCCCAAATAATAAGAATGGGAACCATTCTTATAGAAAAATAATACATTATTGTAAAAATATTTAGTTTTCCTGGAATAAAGTATGCACTTTTGTGATTTTTAGAAAATACATATGACAAGGAATGACATGAACCAAAAATGTTCTAAAATTGAAACATTTTTGTTTAGCCTGCTCGCTATATCTGATTCTCTCTTTAACTATTTTTGTATGCAGATACTACTTTGTGCTGATATTCAAGTTCTTTGAGGTGACACAAACCTGAATATATCTCTGGGAGGATGTAGTTGTTGTTGTGGTTACCGTGGTAACTGACTGAACTTGTGACCTTTGTTGCTCTATTTCCAAGGCATCTGAATAGGAGGGAAGTGGACTCACGTGACCGTTCTCTTTGGGTGACGATATGATAGGCTCAGACCTAGAAATAACAGAAATTTAATGCAATAAATAATAAAAAGATTAGGAAATGGGAAGAACACTTGAATCATTATGCATGCATGTTTGAATGATTGATTATATATGCGCATATTGATGATTAAATTATACATGCGCATATTGATGATTTTATTATGTATGCACATATTGATGATTTAATTAAACATGCGCATAGTGATGAGTTTATTAAGTATGTGCAAATTGAGAAGTTAATTTCAAATGTGCATATTAGTAAGTGATGAACTACTTTCATTTTAAGATTATCTCAGAATAATACAAAGAGTCCATATTGCATTTAATCAAACCCAACTAACAACAAAACTTATAATTATAAAAAAACATAAATAACATCAACTACATAATACTAATAATTGTTCAACAATAATTTCTTCTATCACCCAGTAAGGTTAGTAATATAATATTACTCAAAGCATGTATGAGAACAACATCTATTATTAGTTAAACCCTACTAGTCTAGAAAGGGATGAATGCCAAACTCTGAAGAGTGATTAGTTAAACACCACAAGAAAGGTCTATGGTAGGACATACAGTATGTGATGGACATTAAGGTAGGCAGGTAGGAGTTGAGTGAAATGTGCATAATATCTGAAAATGAGTTCACTAGGCTCACCTTAAGATTGCAGTCAAACTGCAGGAAGCTCAGGGCTTTATTTATTGGGTTTTAATTTTGAGATCTTGTGAGTTTCAGGGGAGGTTTGAGACTATTTCAAGATCATTGAGTCATTTTGACATTTCACAAGATTGACCTCAATTGATTTTTCTGATTTTGCGAGATTTAAAAGAAAGCTTGTTATATTTCGGTATGCAAAGGAAAGGTTCAACTCTGACATCATAATTAAAGTTATTTAAATTTCAACATAATTCTTAAGTTACCCAGGCAATCCAAAGCTAACTTGTAAGCCACATAGAAAGAATATAGAACAGATAGGCTTATACACAAACTGGGTCACGAGCAATCAGGTATAAAATATTCCCACTGGACCCACCTTAAGGCTGTGTAAAGTTGAGAGGATACAACAAAATGCTAATGTGCCCGAAGACTGCCAATAGATGGCACAACCCACAGTTGGCTGGATTTTATGTATTGACTGAACATACATGTATAATTTAAAATAATCAAAAATACTCAGAGCAACTAACACAAATCTTCCTTCATGTAGAAAAGTCAAAATAAAGGTTTGATTGATGAAGTGTATTTGTGTTGAAATAAAGCAATATTTACATGTTAACATAACATAACATATTAACAGGAAGTGCATATCAATTCACTTTTGACCTGCCATCTATATGAGTCAACAAGCTCATTAAGTAACATAACCATAGACAGGATTAGCGTAGAGAATTGAAATGTTCGCATTATAACTTAACATTACAACATTGCCTTTAGGTAAGTTTACTGATGAAACATGAAATGAAGAAATAAACCCAAAATTGATGTTTTATTTATGTTTTAGTAATACACAAAAAGCATATTGCAACACAAAAGATAAAAATCCAAGAAAAGCAGTGCAATGATATGAAAGATCTAAAGTGCCACAACAAAGCCCAACACAGGTTATATGTCACAAAGGATATATTGTCACAAAGGATATATTGTCACAAAGGTGATTGTGTCACAAAGGTGTATGTATCACAAAGGTGATTGTGTCACAAAGGTGTATGTGTCACAAAGGTTACTATACCTCTCTGGCTGCACTCTGTTAAGAACAAACATGCAATACATTACAATATTTAAACAAAGGATAATATAGTTTTTCCTTTTGGGTGTTATTATTTTCTGCAGGGCGTAATGAATTGAAATCAATAGTAATGCAGACAGCCATTTTTAAAGTTGCAAATAAAAATTATTTTTGAAAGTTCTTAAAGTGCATTAAAGTGCTAAAATGCAAAATATGTTAAGGTGATGATTGACAAAGGTGATTATTACAAACACAATATGATACAATACAATATGTCTATATTGGAAGTTGTTAAGCACAATTTGGTGATTTGCAAAGGAGGGGGTGACCATAATTGATTAACTCACCCTGTAGTAAAAGTTGGCCGTTCTCGCACTCCAGCTTCCTCCCTCATAGCTTCAGCAACTTCACTAATATTTTGATAATCGGGAGCAGGAGACCTAAATCTGGTGGCAAAAACAAACAATATACAAAATATAAGAAAACCAAATCAAAGTGAAGTTGATGAAATAAAATGTATGTTATAGAGAACATGCAAAATATGATGTACATATGAACTGAGTTTAAAATAATGAAATAAAAGAAGCATTCGTAAACTTAAGAATTTCTAAGTCTCGTTCTCTTGCAATGATGTCACAATGTCCATATCAACAACAATTCATTCATGAATCATAAATTCGTGGACGATTTTGGTAATGCAACCGCCGTTCCAGGCATGTAATACACACTTTAAATGACATCGAAAATAAAGAAATTCAGGCATTACTGTACATTCACATTTTAGAGAAAAAGTCTGAAAGGCATGACAATATTTTCACATACCTGGGGTGGCGCGTCCTTTCTTCATCTTCCTCTAGAATTTCTGGAATATTCCCAACTTCAGACGATCGTGATAATTCATGCTCCTCAATTTCCGGGTGATGAAGTTGCGAAAATACGGGAGCAGACATTTTTCTATCCACCATTTGTTTGTTTGTGGATGGTGGTGAATCGTAAGTATTATCCACCGCAGCTTTTGTCCGTTGAGACCGAGGTGATTTTTCTGATAAACTACCTGCAGAAGCTAGAACAATTTGAAAATCATTAGTCATGAAGTCCTTTAAACCTGTAAACTAAATCACTAAACGTGTAAACTAAATCACTAAACCTGTAAACTAAATCACTAAACCTGTAAACTAAATCACTGTGCTCATTCTTCATTTTCACATAATTTTGCTCACAATGAAAAGAATGCGAATAAACCATTCATGAGTTCAACTTTTCTGATAAACTTTAATGTTTCTGAAGTTTCTGATAAACTATCTAAAATCTTTTCCTTTTTTGAAGTAAAAATGAAATAGTTTGTTCATTACTTATTACACCAACTAAAAACTTCAAGAAATTTTGGTTAAAGGAACCTATCCAGTCGAGTCCCTGGTAAAAATGGTGCAGAAAGTTATTGAAATAAACCATATTTTGACAGCTAATCATTGCAAACTGGTGAAGCGTGTCAAGACTGAAATGGAACATCCACAAGACATATTAGGGTTCATTTGATAAATCAATGGAAATTTTTGAGGAACAACCTGCCCATCCCAAGGACTGAAATGAATAAATGTTTTGCAAAATTCCACATAAGATGTCAATGTTTCAATGTGAACATATGACCATTATGATGTCAATGTTTTAATTTGCACAAATGGTGTCAATGTTTTGATGTCAACAAATGATGTCATGTTTCAATGAACACATATAAACATTGAATTGTCATTGTTTAATGTCATATATTGATGTCAGTGTTAAACATCTATATATGGTTATTCGAATGTCAATGTATAAATTTTGAACAGAAAATCTTTATTAAATTTTTGTGTGGAATATATCCTCCCTTAGAGGTGACATCAACCAATATTTCTGAATGATTTATTTCTAAAATCAAATCCTGATGTCAACAATTGATCAACATGATGTCAATATTTCAATTAGTGAAATGATGTCAGGGAAGTAATGAAGACACTGATATGAGAAACTAGTGATAAATGGGATCATAAATCAAAACCCAAATTATAACATTTCGAAAGTGAGCTCTGTACTAAACTGACAATGTCAATCATGTATGGCTAAATATTCACTCAAGATCAGCTAGTAATAAAACAACTTCACATTAAATGGACAAACAAAACTTTTATCAACAAAAATAACAAATTATAATAATTATCCAACAGAAATTTTCATATATAAGACATAGTACCATGGGTACTTGGCTCACAAGAGGTTGTTTGAATCTATATATGCTACTTATTTAGGACACACAGACTGGCAGTTAGATATACTGTCCAGACATACAGACAGACTGGGTGATTGTGTTAGCCCACTCTAAGTGAGCTAAAACGCATTATAACAGAAGTACCTTATATACCTTTGCACAAAGCAAATGTATTAAAATAGAGCAAAGCATTACCTTATTCCAAGCAGTCCTCCTGTCCACATGTCTATAAGCCCAGAGTTTACCTCATACCCATAGTTTGCAATCCAAGCATTCCATTGTTAATGTGTTATATTATAAACTAATAGCAGATAAATGATGCGGAACAGTCAACTGCATGCTTTTCATAATCTGCTATTAATTGGGAGGCCAAGGGAAAATATGTGTCAAGGTGAAGGTAATTTTTCTTAATCGTTAAAAATCAAATGGACAATGAATTTTAATGAAGATGGTGTCTAATGTTTTGATTAAAATACTTTCGCTTCAAATGATATTTTCACCTGACCCAATAAATGGTGTTAATTCATTCACTTCATATGATATTTTCACCTGGCCCAATCAATGGTGTTAATTCATTCACTTCATATGATATTTTCACCTGGCCCAATCAATGGTGTTAATTCATTCACTTCATATGATATTTTCACTTGGCCCAATCAATGGTGTAAATTCATTCACTTCATATGATATTTTCACCTGGCCCAATCAATGGTGTTAATTCATTCACTTCATATGATATTTTCACCTGGCCCAATCAATGGTGTTAATTCATTCACTTCATATGATATTTTCACCTGGCCCAATCAATGGTCTTAATTCATTCACTTCATATGATATTTTCACCTGGCCCAATCAATGGTCTTAATTCATTCACTTCAAATGATATTTTCACCTGGCCCAATCAATGGTGTTAATTCATTCACTTCATATGATATTTTCACCTGGCCCAATCAATGGTGTTAATTCATTCACTTCATATGATATTTTCACCTGGCCCAATCAATGGTCTTAATTCATTCACTTCATATGATATTTTCACCTGGCCCAATCAATGGTCTTAATTCATTCACTTCATATGATATTTTCACCTGGCCCAATCAATGGTGTTAATTCATTCACTTCATATGATATTTTCACCTGGCCCAATCAATGGTGTTAATTCATTCACTTCATATGATATTTTCACCTGGCCCAATCAATGGTGTTAATTCATTCACTTCATATGATATTTTCACCTGGCCCAATCAATGGTGTTAATTCATTCACTTCATATGATATTTTCACCTGGCCCAATCAATGGTGTTAATTCATTCACTTATTATGATATTTTCACCTGGCCCAATCAATGGTGTTAATTCATTCATTTCATATGATATTTTCACCTGGCCCAATCAATGGTGTAAATTCATTCACTTCATATGATATTTTCACCTGGCCCAATCAATGGTGTTAATTTATTCACTTCATATGATATTTTTACCTGGCCCAATCAATGGTGTTAATTCATTCACTTCATATGATATTTTCACCTGGCCCAATCAATGGTGTTAATTCATTCACTTCATATGATATTTTCACCTGGCCCAATCAATGGTGTTAATTCATTCACTTCATATGATATTTTCACCTGGCCTAATCAATGGTGTTAATTCATTCACTTCATATGATATTTTCACCTGGCCCAATCAATGGTGTTAATTCATTCTTTGAAATCACTGCAAAGGTAATTTTTTTTTCACCAGGTGTATCTACTGTCTCTCTCCAAACATACCAATCATATCAACCCATACTGAATAAATAAGGCCCATACAGACTAAATGCCTGTTTAGCAGGGACTATGCCAAAAATTCCAAACATTAATCTTTGCTTAATGGTTTTGCTTTTGTTTTTGCATGCAAGTCCCGTTTTGAATAACAAAAAAGTCTGGTCACGATCCTTTGCAGAGAACATTTGGCATTGATACCTGATCTGATGACATTGATGAATAAATGATCTTTGGTTCTGCCCTGCAACCATGATCAGCACTGAGTGTGGCCACCCAATTATTTTTGAAAACATATAATCAATCTGAAAAAGCCTAACTTCCATTTAGCCATTAATAAGGCACACATTCCGGCACATATAGCAGCACACATTCAATCCCTTACCACCATGCCTTAATTGTAATATACCAGCACACATTAGGGCATATATAACAGCACACATTCAATCCCTTACCACCATGTTTTAATTGTCAGATAATGACTTATTACAAGCACCGCAACACCAATGGAGTAAATTTATTCTTACCAAAAATATTTCTCGATGATGACAACATATCAATGATGACAGAAAAATATGTCTTCCAATAGTGAAGACTAGATTCAGGATTATAAGATATATTAATTTTCTTTCTCTATGAACTGTCGGCAAGTCAGTTGTAAAACAATCTGTAAAGTAACAAACAGTTGAAGCACATTTTGAAGCACTATATACATACATACCTTTGATACACTACAGCACGCTTTAATATACTAAAGCACATTATCATTCACTAGAGCAAACTTTAATATACTAGAGCACACTTTAACATATAAGAGCACATTAATACTCAATATAACACACTTTAACATACCAGAGCACACTTTAACATGTAAGATCACATTATTACTCAATATAACACACTTTAACATATAGCAGTACACTTTAACATATAAAATCACATTATTACTCACTAAAGCACACTTTAATATACTAGAGCACATTATTACTCACTAGAGCACAGTTTATAAACATACTAGAGCACACTTTAACATACCAGAGCACACTTTAACATGTAAAATCACATTATTACTCACTAGAGCACACATTGATATATCAGAGCACACTTTAACATATAGGAGCACATTGTTACTCACTAGATCACACTTTTACACACAGCAGCACATTTTAACATAGAACAAGAGCACACAGTAATTTATTTTGACAAATCTTTAAAAAAAAAACTAGCACATAATTCTCTGCCTTCAAAAGAAATTGGCAATTATTCGTTCTTTGATACAGCAACAAAGGTTATTAATTTTTCACCATGGGTAGCTAGCCATTGTCTCTCTTAATCATATAAACCCAACTACTCAACTACTACTGACAGATACATTTTGGGTTATCTATAACAACTTATCAGCAAAACTATATTTATTTGCCCTATTCAGAGGGGAGTTATTTCTACTAACCAAAGGGTAATTGATACGTTTTGTATTCAATGAAAGAAAGAGAAATGTTTAATCACACAGATGTCAGAGCGGACACACAAACAGATCAATAAAGAAATCAAACATCTTCAAGATTAAAACAAGATAATTAAGAACAACTGCTTTAGTCTTCTGTGTTTGTAAGGAATCAATCCTGGATAAAACTAGCTTCATGAAGAAAGTATTACATTTTCTCCGATTGTTTTACCAAAATTGCTTGTTGTTTTATAGAATTTGGCAACCATTACCAATTTAAATTGTGTCAAAGTCTTCTTTGTTTGTTAGGAATCAATCCTGGACAGATCTTGCTCATGGCATCTTGGAGAAAATAATATTACTGCTTTCTTTCAATCAATATACAGTTATACCTGAATATCAAAACACCTCTCTAAAACAAAACTCCCAATGTGAACCTGCAAATAAGAACACTTTTGGCAAGTCCCTGTTCATTATTTGCAAGGGTATGAGCTCTTTCAGTTATTTTTTTTATAAAACATATCTATAGACTTCTAGACCCATCTTCTGCATTTTAATTATTTCCAAAGAAAGGTCGGATCAGTATAAATTCCTGTTGTTTTTTTATTAGCA